GTTTTTCTCTTTTCAACATTATAAAATGACTAAAATAACCTAAATTGTTACTAATAAAAATCTAAAATGATCATTTTACTCTTTTCAGTATTATAAAATAATTATTTTATCCTTTAACCAAATGATCATTTAATTATTTAAAAAAGCACCAAATGGTGCATTCGAAGAAAATAATAATAGAATAAAAAGTTATCCTACAATGAAGTGCAAGGATAAATAGTAATTAACAAACAAACAAAGCCGTAGTCATCAAGAATGCTACCACTTGTAGAAAGTCTACCGACTAAACTAATTTCACTTCAAATCAAATCTAATTAAACTTAACTTCATTCAAGTAACGCTAATTTATTACTACAATAAATTTTTTGCAAACTAATCAAATGCAACAGATTAAATCCCTATAAAAACTTAATAATCATAATATCCAAAGATTAAGTAAGCCTTCAGCTACATTATTTACCTCGGGCCGATAAGATGAAGAAACAAAAGGCAAGAGACAAAGCGATTGAGTGGTTCGTAGGGACCTGAGGATTTCACCTTGGACAAATCCATTCCACCTCATTGGAATAACAAAAAAAAAAAAAAAACTACAGAGAAAAACCCCAGAGCTCCATTCAAAAAATATTAAGCTCCAAAAATACTGTGAATGAAAAATGATTTCGCTACAGCATTTCATTTCAACTTTAGATAAAAAAAACAAACATTTTTATCTTAAAATGCCCTTCTTGTTTTTTTTTTTTTGTCTAGAGATATGCTTTTGGCTTTTAAACGTTATGGATTTTACTTCTTCCTCTTTTATTTATGAGTTAAATATTATAAATAATCAGTTCACACCATGTTGATGTTTCATGAATTTTTTTTAAACCATAAATTGATAGATAAAATATTTTAATAAGATAACAATTATATTAATAATGATACCAAACTATTATAATTTTTAAGTATTTGAAGTTCTAAAAATCCAACAACATAAATAAGAAAAATTCTTATTACTTCATGCTTCAAAAAATGGTCTCAATAAACTAAAATGATATATCATTTATGAAAATTTTATTTTCTTTTTGTAAATAACAAAATTTATCAATGTGAAAATTCAATGTATTTTAATATGGGTTAAATATAAAAATAGCCTTTATACTATACATTTTTTGTCAATTTGATACTTAAAAAACTAAAATTATTAGTTTGGTATTCGAACTTTTTTAAAGAAAAAAATTATCAATTTGGTACTCAAATTTTCATTTTGCCATTCATTTTAGTATTTGGAACTAATGCTATTATTTAACTAGCTCACATAGTATGAAAATCTAATAAAATACTAGCACATACCAAAAAATTCAATTGGCACCACATCATTAATTGCCATGTCAATTTAAAAAAAATTTGAAATTTTAAAAATAAAAAAAAATCTAAAATTTTTAAATTTTGAAATATTTTAAAAATTAAAAATGAACTATTTTTAAAAATTATAAAAAAAATTATGAAAACTTTAAAAATTTTAAAAATCTCAAAATTTACATAAAAAATCCAAAAGAATTCAAAAATTTTCTGAAAATTTCAAAAAAAAAAATCACAAAACTTAAAAATTGATAATAAAAGAATCCAAAATTTTTTGAAAAATTTTCAAATTTTAAAAAATAAATTTTTTTAAAAAAATCTGATAATTTATAAGAAAAATTCTTAAAAGTTTTAAAACATTATGAAAAATTAAAAATTTTAAAAATCTAAAATATTTTTAAAAATTAAAAAATTTTCTTAAAAAATAAAAATAAATAAAAATTGTAATAAAAATCCTAAAAATTAAAAAAAAAACTGAAATTTTCATAAAATATAAAAAAAAAAGATTATAAGATTCAAATGAAAATTTTTCATAATTTAAAAAAAAAAAGATTTTACAATTTTTTAAAATTATTATATTTTTTCAAAAAATTTTAAAATTTTTAATTTCTATTTTTTAAGTTTTAGTGAATCTTTTTTTGAATTTAAGAAAATTTTATTTTAATTAAAATTTTCATTTTTGGATTTTTAGATTTTTTTTATTTTTATTAAAATTTTGAGTTTTTTTGAATTTTTAAGTTTTCATATATTTTTTAAATATTTTATATTTTATATTTTTTAAAATATTCAAAAATTTTAAAAATTCTTAATTTTTTTAAATTTTTTTAGAAATTTTTTTAAATGTTGACGTGACAATTAATGATATAGTATTGATTGAATTTTTTGACACGTATTAATATCTTATTGGATATTCATATCACGTCAACAAATTAATTGAAAGCGTTAATTTCAATTACTAAAATAGATGAAGGAAAAGATAAACTTCAAGAGCCAAAAGATGAATTTAAATATTCACATATCAAGACCACAAAGAAAATACTTTTACAATTTTTATCCGTTCAAAACTACATCTGGTGAAAGTAAAAAGGATATGATAAATGGTTACTAAGAATGCCAAATGCACAGAGGAAATTTCCATTTCACACTAAATATGTTAAATATATGAAAATGAAGTGATTATTTATTTGTTTATTTATTTTTGAATAAATTTGAATTGGTCATTTTCAATTTGTCATTGTCACTAATAACATTTACTAGACACTACGTTGAAACTTCACTAAATACAAATTGCGAGTCCCTTACATGTTGAATTTTCCTTCTTTTTCCATTTGGTTCCACATGCCTAGAAACATTTACCTAAAGCCTATTTTAGCTAACTTGATAACTACAATAACATGCATTTAAGCTTATAAATGTTTGAGATGTAGTTTGTCATGGTAGTCATCCAAAGTTAAATGAAATAAACATGTTTCTGGTGAAGTGTGTAGCAATAAAATATATGTAAGTAATTTTACATGTCTTCTATTATCAAGAAGTAGGAATTTCTAAATAAACAAATCCAAAAATGGCAGATGAGCAAAAGAAATTGGTTTGAGATACTGAGCATTTTTCATTAATCACAAGCGACGGTCGACGATGGCAACAGCAACTACTCTTGGCTATGGAGGGTTTTGGGAAATCTAAATCAATTAAACGAAGTAAAAGGAAAAGATGTAGTAAAGTCAAATTTCATGCGGTTTGAGGCGGTGGAAATGGAGTTTTTCGAGTTTGAAGCCATGGCTTTTAGGTTTAAGTCTAGACTTTTTTGGGTTGATTTTAAAAAATTAACCTGATAAATGTGAATAATGTAAGAAAAATAATATAATATAAGATTATAAGAGACAACTTGCCGATTCTTGAATGTCTTGATAACTTGTGAAGTTCTTGTAGCCTCCTTGTTGAATAGTTGGAGTTGGGTAATTATGAGCTTTTAAACACAAACAAAATGATTTCAAAGAGTGTTGCAAATATCATTTTTTTTAAGGTTGTATTTCACCTCAACTAAATATAATATATAAAAGGGGTGAATCGAAAGCCTTCAAGACACAATAAAGTCTTATTTATTTATATTTTGCATTAGTATAACAAACTAGTAAACACTCATTGGTAAAAGCAGAAATAGTTTATTTTCAACAAAGATTTCTGCAACAAACAATATTAAAGTAACTTGCCATTAATTGAGAAAGGATTGGGAAAAAGAAAAGCGTAATTCTAAATTGAATTGTATGTCAAATGAATTTATATTAATTTTTATTTATAAAGATTAAATTTTAAAGTTATGGCTTTTTGATTATATTGTTTCAATCAAAAGTTTTTTTTTTTTAATTATAAATATATCTTTTTGAAAGATTATAGACATATTTATTTATTTAAATAATCAAAATTTTCATATAAAGAAAAATAATTTTTCATGCAAAGCGATCAATTACTCTAGATAGTTTCAATTTCCAAAATGCAGGTAATGGACTCCTCTATAAAGCATTTGACTCCTTTCTTCATATAGAATGTAATCAGCACGTGAGCAATTAACTGCTTCATGTAGCCGTCGACTTTTTTAAATTTTCAGGAATGTTTTACATTCGGCTTCTTAATGGGTAGTTGACTCCTCTTCAATGGCAATCAATTGCTTATAGCATAAATCAATTTTCAAAAGAGTATTAACCAATGACAATTGATTCCATTAAGGTTTAGAATTGATTCCATTCACTTTCTAAATAGAAGAGTCAATTGCTTTAGGCTTGCAATCGGCCGCTATTTATATAGAACCTATATTTAGTTTCTGTTTGACAAAGCAGTCAACTCAATATCCTTAATAATCAATTACTCTTTTTGGAAGTTCATGGTAATCAATTGCTCTAAACATGATAGTAGATTACTTTTTTTATAAATTTTTTATATGATTCTTATAAATTAAGAATCATACTTTTGACATTTAGAACTTTATCTTAAATCATCTTATAGCTTAAGATTTATCTTTGATTAAGTTATTTACTTAATTATATTTTCATATTTTGAAAATATTTTTAATAAATAAGAAATCGAATAAAGGCTGACAATAATTTTTGATGAAAATCTGTCGTCAAAGAGTGGCAATTAGCGACGGTAGAGGTAATGAAAAAGAAGTTATTGATTTTTCTTTTGCAAGGGTAACGAGCAAATAAAAGAGTTTAGAGAAAAAAAAAATTAAGTTTTTAATTTACACTCAAATGATTAGTTTGGAGAAGGAAAAAGAAAATTTCAAAGAAAAGAAAAAAAAAAAGTTAAATGAGATGACAGGTGAACATATATGTTTAACTAAAAAACTTGCAAAATTTATTATATGATGATAATGACCATTGACTATAAAGTATTAGGGTTAACTCAGTGCTTAAAATTTTATACCACCTTAACTCAGTGCTTAAAATTTTATACCACCTTAACTCAGTGCTTAAAATTTTAAGATCTTAAAAATAATTTTTCTTTTAAAATCTCTAATAATTGGTCTCTAGTAATGAAAAAGAATATATCTTTTTTAATTGAATTTTGAAATGATTATAATTAATTAAAATTTTTCATTTTTCGTCTGAGGTAGAGTCACGTGACATACTACCTCAATTTGATAATTAAGTTTAAAACAATTCTAACTTAATAAATAAGGTTAATAAGTGCCTTAATTGAGGGAAAAACTCGTATATGAATGTAGCTTGACCAAGTGGGAACATAGGCGGTTATTATGCGCAAGATAATATTTAAAGTTCAATATATTGGATATATATTAAAAGATTTAAACATTTCTCACAATTAGTTCAAAAATTGTGCAATTTAGCCGCAAAGAGATTGGCGTTGGAAATTCAGGTAAGGATGAGGGCCGGAGGGAGCTATACGAATAATAAGGCTCCTTTTCTAACGCCTTTTACTCCTACACCTACTTGCTCACAATCAAAGGCAAAGGACCGAATCCCAATCAACTCACCCTCATGGCCTGCTCTCCGACTTTCTACTTTTCCAGGTCAATTTTAATTCAACTACTAATTGCTATAGTAAATGATAGTATTGTTTTTGTCATGTAATGTTGTGGTTTGTCAGTTTCCGGTCCAAGATTGTCTAGTGGGAGGATTGCCCTTGCTGCAGCAGAAGCTAGAGCAGGGGTTTGTTGTGAAATCAGATCGGTTAATGGAGCTTCGGAGATGGCGTCAGCTTGGGATAACAAGCCCCTCGAAATACCTCGCAATGGGAAAAAGCCCTACTTCTACTTGGACGAAATGGATATCCTCACATTTCTTGATCCTCCCAACCACTTGATTCCTTTGGACCCTACCTCTTATAATCCAGCTGCTTATCTATGGTCTGCTCTGTTCTCTCTTCATTTTTCATATTTCTAATTTATTATCTCTTATCTTTCAGGAATCGCTTTTCCCTTTTTTAGATAGAATTTACAATTTAGGGCTGGGCTGTTTCTTTCCTTCTTTATTACTATAATAATAATACTGAAATTTTGTTTTTGAAATCATATTCTCTTCTTCAGGAAAAAAATTGGAGACATACCAGAGGAAAGGCGTCATCGATTGCTGCAATTGCTCAATCCCAGGTTATTTGTTATTTATTCCTCTCAACTTTTTGTAGCTTATTGATTGATTTATCTTCTAGAAAAGCAGCATTGAAAGATACAATAGGAGAAATAGAGAAAACTGTACAAATAGTTTGAAGTGCTTCCGCTGAAATTTTTTTATTTTTTTAATTTTAGGTATGGCTTGAATTAGGAAATGTTTGATGAACTTGATGCAGGCTTATATCAAAAGCTTGGGAGATAGCTGGCGCACGATACCATGATCCTAAATTTCTGAAGGAAAGTGCTTCAAACTTTCTCTCTAATAAAGACGGGGAAATTCCCCCTCAAGTTTATAGCTGCAGAACCAGTGGAGGTAATTCGTTTGAGTTATTGCCAACAGCTTGGTATCCCTTAGTATTTTTAGTTTTAAAATATAGAAAATGCCAATTTCCTGTTGGAGATTTGGATTCCCAAGAGACCATAGGGATCTTTCTTTATATGTAGATATAAAAAGATTTCTTTTCCAGTGCATATTGTATTTTCTGAGATCAATGCTTATTATTTTTCAATAATAACAATCAATATTCTACGTGTGACTAAAATTTTCATTTTCATATGGCACGGTATGTTTAAAACATGACTGTTACAACTTAATGTAATAATATGATCGGCATTGTGCAAGTTCCTGCATTGTCACCATCAAGTTTTTGTTGATGGTGATAAGGTAGTTAGTTTATATAGCCTAGATGAGAGCAATGGGGTGAAGGATATGTATGGAGTTTCAGGTTCTTGTGTGCCTTTTACTTGAGCTTATCCCTGGGAATGGAAGCTGACTTGTCTTATTTGCCAACGTAGACTGTTAGAATAGAATGGAGGAATATGAGAGCTACCTAGACCTATTGTAGCCTCTCGTATTTATGCTAAGAGTTATAAGGTACAAAAGATGACATATCTTACAACATAATGCACATTACAACACTATTCATATGGAAGCAGTGTTAATTTCCAAGTCTTATTTTGCATTTCTTATTGGAGCATGCTTCAAGAGCAGCTGCAAGGTCGGAACTCTTTCTAGAGAAGTCTTAATAAGCATCACTCACTGATTTTCATCCTAAAATATATAGTCTGCTTATTTATTTAATTTTATTATTTTTTAGGAGAACTTTCTTGAAGCATATTGTCTGACTTTCCAACATTTTTTTAACCTAATGAGGAGTAATCTAGCAGTGAACTCCTTTTGTTCTGTGTTACCTTCTTAAGCAAACTTCTTGGTGATTAAATGGGTTTTCTGCTTCCTAAAGTGAATTCAATTACTATAAGGCTTTGAATTAATCCAAGCTTTATAAGATGTCCTTTTGGGTTGCATCAGCCATAATTTAGCACTTGTTGATTTTATATTTCTTTCTTGTACTTGCAAGATATGGAGTTTATTGATTAGAAACAACCAAGATGCATGTTGCCAACTTGTCACTTTAGGGTTTTCTACAAGTGCTTAACAGTCTTCAATCATATATGAACTCTCCCATTAAGATATTAAGTAAGTCCATAGTGGAGACCAACATCCACTATTCAACCTAATGCAAGGTGCAACTGTCAATTCTATTTTCAATTCAGATTTTACCTTTCTTTTAGAAGACTACCAGAGCATTGCTTCCTTTTTTTTCCCTTACCCTTTCTTCATTTTTCTCATATGCAAGTTTCTTTGAGAAGTTCCTTTCTTTCTCTTCTACCCTTTTTATTTCACAGTTTTACTTTCGTTTCAATTTCATGAAGTGCTATCCTCGATTCATGCATATATGCTGTTTCTGTTATATGCTAGAATGATAGCATTTTTGTCCCCTTTTGACTTTTATATGTGTTTACTTGAAGTTCTCTTCTTTCTTATCTGTTAAAAAATAATAAAAAATGTTAATTGTAGGCTAATTTTGAAAGATTTAATAATATGATCCTCTCATCTAGGTCCATTACCTATTGCTTGGATCAATTTCTTCAAGAAGGTTAGTTCTACACTTGTATGATGAAAATCTTAAATTCGTACTAATCTTTCTTCCTTCCTCATATTTTTATACTCTCTCTGCAATTTAACTGTCTGAATTGACTGATTCTCTTCTCAGACTATATTTTGTGACAGTAATGGAAAGACATGTGGACGTTTTATTGGTAAATATGTTTATCTCAAATGAAATATCTCCCGTTATCTGAAATTCTTTTTATTCTTTTAACTTGGATGTTAAAAGGAAGTATTTGTGTCAAATCTTTAGTATTCAGAAGCTCTCATGTGGTAATTAGGAAGATATAATTAATTTAATTATTTTGGTCATCTATATATCAAGATTCATTCTCAATTGCAAATGAGGTTTTTCTTCTTTTCTAGCAAATGATCTCTCATGGGTTAATTAGGAAGGTTGAAATTTAGTATTTAACTGATTCATATTAGTAATTTCACTCTCAACTACAAAGGTTTTTGTAATGGTTTATTTTAATCAGGGTGAAGAAGATAAGTTTAGATTCTTTTCTTGATTCCTGCATTGATGGTTGAATGCTATGGTTGAACAAATAAGGCGGAACTGACCGCCAAGCCTCGCATGTGATTTTATCTCCTACCTAACATGCCAGATGTAGTCAGAAGATTTCAAATGAGAGTAAAGGATTTTTCCATTTGCCCTTTTTGCTGGGAGAAACACATTGGATAGCGGCAATATAGAAAGGGTGTTTTTAAAGAATAATTTATGTGATGGTCATTTCAAGAAACAATAGTTTGGGAGAATAGGATTCTAGAATAAACTATTTCAAGCTAAGCAAATAAAGTTTTCAAGTAGATGACATTATTTTTTTTTATTTTTGTGAAATATGTTAAATAGTTAATAAGATGTGGACTAAAGTTACTCTTAGCTACATTACCTAGCACATGGGATTGTTAAATACTTGCATGCTCTGGGTCTTGTCTTCCTTTTTATGATATTTGTTACCATAATTTATGGTGAGCTTGGCTTTTCCTAATATTAGTTATGTACTTGAGGATATTGCAGCAATATAACCTAATACAATTCCTCTATGCTCTAATAATTAGGTATATCTAAAAAGTTACATTGATTTTGAATAAATAGTACTGTCAAACTAATGTATTCAAGACCTACTCATTCCCTTTTAAAAAAGTGTGCATATAGGGGTTGGATAGGCTGGTATGCAGGATAAATTTACTGAATTTATTAGATAAGCATGAGATCATGAGAATTCTAGGTGAAAGTGTAATTTCATCATAACTTCACAGTGGTTTTTGTAGCTTAAAATATCAAGGAATAATGTGAAAATATTCTTCTTGTTTGGTTGTAGTCTGTTGTTTCAATTGCCTAGTATTCATGTACAGAAATTTCTAGCAATGCATCTTTAAAATTGGGCTTCATGCATGTCAAGCAATAATTCATATATAATATAAAAGTTTACTCTACTTTTTTTTTGTGGAGGGGGGGGGGGGGGGGGGGTGGTCCGTGTAGAGGTTATTGATTTAATAATGAAAACATTGCACTTTCTTAGGTGCATCATTTGTGGCTCAGTTTGCAAATCGCTTGAGTCCCTTGTATTTTGAGGTGACTCAGCTTAAGGAAGTAATGCCAACTGAACAGCCCTGTGATTTGTCGTATGAATTCGGGGATGGGCTCTTGGATCTCCATGAATATCCAGCTGGCTTCCCAAAACCAGGTAAAGATTATTTGTTATTGCTAATTACAAGATCAATTTCAGGGTTGAATTTTGTCCTATCTTGCTAAACCATCTCCTTTGTTTGATGAAAATTTTATTTTATTTTATTTTTATTTCCCACTTGATGAGTCACTGTACATTCTGCAGTTTGTCTCAAGTGTGGAATTAATAAATGAGTATCTGATGCTCAAAAATTTTCATTCTCTGGTTTCAACATTTGATCTCTTAGACCTTTAAACATCAGTTGAGAAAATTTCTCAGACAAATGAGATTCCATTTATTTTAGATGTGCAGATTTAATTCATATTAGTATTTGTATTTTTCCTCCTAAATAGAAGCTATGAAAACACTGTATATCATCTTTTGGCATCTATATTTTTATTTTTGTGTTATGAAGGGTGACATGATCAACTGATTAATTTTATTATTATGTCTCTACTTTTGCAGTGAAACACCCATATCCTTTCAGTGATCAGGTTGTGATATACATTCGTCTTATCGGACCTGGTGTTTTGGTGGGGCAAGCGTGGCAGGAAGGAAAAAAATTAGACCAAGTGCCTAAGAAGTTATGTCGCGAGATTTTGATGGTAAAAGAATATGCTGCATCTGGAGAAAATCACTAGAGAATCCTTTTTCTTTTCCCCCCTATTCTTGCTAGAACCGCTTAATCATGACGAGCATGTAGTTTGTTTAGGTTTTAATGAATCCATAGTAGTAGTTTCCTTGGTGATTAATGTCATCATCCAAACAACCATTTGGAAAATATTAAGCGTAGCCATCGGTCATTGTAGTTGTCTTTGCTCTTTCTTTCTTCTTCTTAGACTTCGTTGAGGTCATTTGTACTTTTAGTGTTTATAGGACTGCTTCCCTTCAAATAAAATTTTATTGCATGCCTTTTGTGTACACTCAATAATTTAAAAATATGATATAGTATTACGATACGAATATGAGATGAAAATAAGATACAATTGTGATATAACTTAAAATTTTAATAATAATTATATATAACTTCAACAAAATTAAAAAATATATTTTATGACTTTGTGTGGATACAAATTGTAGTACATAATTTTTGTGTAAAATATGATATTAATACATGAATTTTAATATTTATATTATACAAATATATAAATCATAATATCTATAATTGTATTAAAATTAAGGTTTTGGAGGATAACATACTAATCCCTTAAATTAGTCTTTTATTATTTAGATAATATTAAAAAAATCAATTACAAATTACAAATTATAAATTAATGCACCCAAAAGTGGCGGTGAGAGCCATAGCCTTTTCAAAATTTTTGAAAATTATTTACATATATAGGGTGTTATGTGAAATTTTTTAAAATATTTCAAAATAAATAAATGATACCTTAAAATATAATCATTTTCAATTAATTTTTATTTATAACTTATTAACTCATTGAATTTTAAAAAAAATAAAAGTATCACAAATTTTTTGAAGTTTTAACATTTAAACTTTTTATGATTTAAAAATAAAAAATTATATGAATAATGGGAAGGATCAATTTATTTCAATGTAAAACTTTAAAAAATTTTATATTTTTTGAACCACTAATTTTAGTAGATCCTAGGGGTATAAAAAAAGAAAAAAAAATAGTTTAATCTTATCACTTAGATTTATTAAAATCAATATTACAAAAAATATAAAATATTTTTGTGTAAGTTGATCCCTTCTCCATGAATAATAGCTTTCAAATTTAATATTTTTGTAAGCTGTGAAATTTTTTTGTATATAAAATGAGTTACTATTTTTTTATAGTATCAATAAATAGGCTAAACATTTTTTATTTGGGATAAAATAATTCAAATTTTGCTTGGTGAAAAATTATGCACTAATCATTAAGTTAAATATTTGAGTGTAAATAAATTAAACACTTTAATAATAAAAAATAAAATAACAGAACATATAAAATTTTAAATAAAATTTGTGAAGTTCATGACTAAAAATGAGTGACATGAAGATTATGAATGAAAATCAAAACTAATACTTATACTATAATTTAAGAGTTTTGATTAAATTATTTACCTGAAAATTTTAAAAGCTTTAAAGTTACAATGTATTAAACTATTTATTAAGTACCATTAATCTAATCTATTTTAATCTTTAAAGTTTTTTACATTATTTTTATTAGAAACATCCAATATTTCATGAAAAGCTATATCTAATTAATTTGTCATATAAAAGATATTTATTTTTATTAAAAAATTCCAATATTTCATGAAAAGCTATATCTAATTGATTTGTCTTAAAAAAAATACTTAATATTAATTGAAAAGTCGACTTAACTAGTTATTTTGAATTGATAGAAAAACAAAAAACAAAGACAAATAACATTAATTGATAAAATAGACTTTTAATTAAATATTTGCTTTCATTATAATTTTATTTTTAATTATATATATAAAATATATTCACATATGTATGTAAATGATTGTGAACTCGTATATGTACTTGGCCTCCTTTAAATAAAAATCCTAGCTCCGTGATTGGTTCTTATTTAATCCCTATTTCTTCAATTGTTTCTCCTATGGAATATTTTCATAATACTCCAACTTTCACGCATACACTAACATTCCCCTTCAAGTTAGAGCATATATATTAGTCGTGCACAACTTATTGCATATATAGTCAACTCGAATTCTTTAAAGTGATTTCATAAGAATATTAGTTAGTTGTTCCCCTATGTGCACATGCTTTAATGATGTTGTTCCACTTTATAGTTTTTTCTTGATGAAATGACAATCAATTTTTATATACTTGATTCTTTCATGAAATATTGGATTGGAAGCAATATGAATTGCCATCTGCTTATCACACCATAATTTTGTATAAGTCCCAAATCGAAAGCCTAATCTCATCTTAAAACTAAACTATCCATAATATCTCTATTGTAGCCAAAGCCATGGCTCTATACTTTACTTCTGTGCTAACTACTTGTTGCTTCTTGCTCTTACAAGACACCAAATTACTCTCAAGAAAGATAGCATAACCAGATGTAGACTTTCTATCTATGGGAGAGCTTGACCAATCTGCATCTGTATAGGCTCGAATACCCTCATCACTAGTAGAATTGTAGCATACCCCATTTTCAGGATTTTTCAACAAATATCAAGGATGCGCATCATTGTTCTCGAGTGAATATCTCTAAAAGCTACCATGAGCTGACTAACACATTCATTGGAAAAGATATATCAAGTTTTGTCATGGTCAGATAATCTAATTTTTCCATTAGTTTCCTATAAGGTGTGGGATTGTCAAGTAAAGTGTCATCTTTTAGAGAAAGCTTGATACCTGGATCCATTAGTGTGTCACTTGGCTTGGCAGGGAACAAGCATGCATCTCTCACAATATCTTGCACATACTTTCTCTTATATACAAAGATTTCTTTTCTACACCTTGCCTCTTTAATACCCAAAAAATATTTCAAATGATCAAGATCTTTGGTTTCAAACTGATACTTAAGATACATCTTAAATTTGTTAATCCTTACATTATCACTGCTAGTGATGATGATATCATCTACATATACACCTGACAATATAAGGCCAACACTCCTAGATATATAAAATATTGAATAATCCTTCTCACTTTGCCATATATCATATTAAACAAGAGTTGCACTAAATTTACTAAACCACGCATTTGGAGATTGTTTAAAGCCATATAAAGATCTATGCAAATGGGCACACTTTTCTCAAACTCCTTTTGAGCAACAAACCTTAGTGGTTGCTCCATATATACCTCATCAGCTAAGTCACTATGTGGGAAGGTATTCTTCACATCCAATTGATTAATACCTATTTATGTGTAGCAATAAAACTGAGAAATAGGCAAATAAATGTCGTCTTCATCACTGGTGAAAATTTTTATAATAAATTTGAGATTTATTATTAGAAAATTTAAATAAATTGGATTAAAATAATTTTAAAAAATTTAAAATAATAATAAAAAATTTTAATTCTATCAAACAATTGAAGAATTTAAATTTTTAGTTAAATCTTATCAAATTATTAAAAAAATTTAATAACTTTTTAAAAATTTTATTAAAAAATTTTTTAAATAAAAATCTCACCAAATGATTGAGAGATATATATTAAAATAAAAATTTATCAAATGATTAAAGGATTTTGTTGATTGTTTTCAAATAATTAATTTTTTGAAAATTACATTAACGAATCCGATGATAGAAGCTCTTTTAAGTAGGACACGAGTTTTCATGAATACTTTTGAGGTGAAAAAATGATCTTAAATTGTTACTAAATAATTTGAGTAATTTTAAAATCAATTTCTAATATTAAATTTACTTGGTAAGATTCCAAACATATTTTAAGACTTGGATAACACATAATCAAACTAGTATTATCTTTCGATGGATGTTATAAGAGTGCTATTGTCACGTGCCAAGACTTAAGCTCCAGGCTCGTGCGGCTCCAGGACCTGAGCATGCACTCATCCAACGTCTCAAATTAGTCTACCTGTCACGATTCATGTCCTTGTGAAGTATTGTTCGCTCTGGCCCCTCTAACCTCACGGATTTATCCTACAAAAGGCATCTCTTAAAAAAGGAGTGGTGTGAACCCTTATATCCCAAGATCAACTTTAGTACTCAACCGATGTGGGATTATTGGCTTCACTTCAGGACCGTGACATTCTCCCCACTTCAACAAGGGCCCATTGTCTTCAATGGTACATCGCTAGTACCCTCAAAGCTGGCTTTGATACCACTTGTTACATGTCGAGATTTATGCTTCAGGCTTACGTGGCTCCAAGACCTGAATGTGCACTCATTCAGCATTTCAGATCAGTTTACCTGTCACAATTCACACTCTTGTGAGGTATTATCTGTTCTGGTCCCTCTGGTCTCATGGTTTTGTCATACAAAAGTGCTTCACAATGAGGGAGTGGTGTGAACCCTTATATCCCAAGACCAACTTTAATACTCAACCGATGTGAGATTCCTAACTTCACTTCAGGACCGTAATACCATAACCTTCCTCACACGTAACCATACTCTCAGACCTAATTTTAGTTTTGTAAACTAGAATCTATATTTTAAAGATATCTAAATTTGGCAAATAGACATCCATAAAAATTAACTTATCGATTACCCAAATAGTACTATAAAAATCAATACTAAACATCCCTTTTTAATTGTACACGTGCCCATAATAATAACATATTTAGGTTTGACATTTGTTCATATAATCTCACTAAAGAAGAAACCATTTTCATTGTTACTATTCCGCCTATTAAAATTAAGTCAGTTTGTCTAGGACTTGATCTTGAGATCAGCCCATAATGATCAAAGTCGAATCATGAGCCTATATTAGGATCTCTTTTTAAAATGAGATAAATTCAGTTAGGTAATTAATTACATTTAAACAAAAAAAATTAGTAGCGACTTTTTTAAGTCATATTTAACGATAAATTCACTGATATATATATTATGACAACTAACATTTAACCCAATTTCGATTTTTGAAAAAACTTGATTCAATCCTAAATTGAAAAAATACACTTTTTGGATTCGAACGAATTGAAATCCTTCAAATATAAGATTGCTTTGTGATACATCCCTCCATTGACATTTTTCTTTAAAAATTTATTTATCAATTTTTTGGTATAAAATTTATCTAATTAAAAAAATAAAAAACAAAAAAAATGAAAGGTAAAAAAAAATGCTAAGTATACACATTTGTTGATTTTTTAAAAAATAACTTAATTTAAAAAATAGAAGAAAAAAAAAACGAAAAGTTAAAAAAATGAAAGAAACTAAGTTGTCATGCTACACTTGCAATGATTAACATTTTAAATAAAAAAATTTTAATCTTGGATTCTGAAAAACAAAAATTTTAAAAACTAAAAACAAAATAAAATCAAATCAAATCCAAATGTAATACCTCCACTAATGTTCTATTCTTTAAAAATTAAAAAATTAAAAAATATATATATTTTTAATAAAAATAGATCACATTTTAGAACAATTTTAAAATATATAAAAAAATTTTGTTAAATATAAAAAAATAAAAAATAAAAAAAAATCAAATGACTTACAAATAAAATTCACTTCATATGAAGTGGATTTCAAAAAAATTATTATTATATATTTAAAAAATAAAAAAATAATGAACCCTTAAAATCATGTGAATTTCACACAATTTTAAATTTCAAAAGAAAATTTATTAATTAAAAAAAAAGAAAAAAGAGAAAAACAAAATAAAGGTTAAAAAGAAAAATAATAAAATTTGATATAAATAGATCTGAAAAAATAATTATTTTGTAAAATATTTAATGATATTTCGGTAATTTTTAAAAAAAATAAATAAATAAAAAAAATAAAGCTAAAGCGCAACTTGAGCCAAATTTAATTATAGGGAAGGTCTCGACGTGGCTAACACATTTCACCTTTAAAATTATATAAAAAATATATATATAGTAGGGCTTTTCTCTGATTTATTTTTCCTACAGGATTGTCGCACGTTGGAATGGAAATAACAAAATATGGAATGAATGTAAATTGATAAATAAAAGTAAATAAATGTTTAATTTAGCGAATGAGTTAAGAGCATAGGTTTCAAAACCAATAATAATAATAAATAATAAAAATTCAAGATAGTTAATATGAATTTAAGAAAATCCGAAGATCATTTGTTTGTTGAGTTTCTCACAGAAATTAAAATTACAAATATAAAAATCCGTGCCTCCGAACCGAAAAAAAAAAAAAAAAGGGGTACCCGTCTCTCCAAAGGCATCTCTATCTTTATTTTATTTTGCAGATAGCTAGCTGATGGAGCTTTGCTTTTGCCTATCGTATTTGATACCAATCAATTTAATCAATCTTCATATTCATATTGTTGTTGTTTTGGTCGTGAACCCACATTAACCTTGGATGCGCCTCCAAACTCTTCCATGAGGCGCTCGATAGTCTTCCTTGATGTAACCTTATCAATCTCAAACGCTCTCATCTCTTCCCCCAGTCCTGCATCACCCTCAAGGAAGGTTAAAAATATCAGTACCATAAAATATTACTAAATCCAGAATGATTTAATTCTTTCTAGGTTATGCCTGAAGAAACAATTATCGCTCAATTATATAATCAAATATTAAAAACAAAAAAAAAATGAAGATTGGCAGTGGAAAGAAAAGCAACTGATTATTGCATCAGAGTAATTGCTTATCCAGGCAGATAATCAATTATCCATCCTAGAATTATCAACCCCAAATTTTGAAAAAATAGATTTGACTGTTTGAATACATCTTGCAGTGGACAAAAGACAAAATTCTAGTGTACCAATGCTAGAAACTCACTTAAAAGAGTTGAATTTTCAAGGAGGAAGCCTCCCAAAAGAATATCAATAGAGAATAAATGAAAATGAATTAGAATGACTATCATAGCAACACACGATCAAATAAGATCTAGAACTTAACATTCATATTTTCTTCTAAAAGAAAAAATAAATACTTGGACATGCAAGATGAGCTTTGAGAGATCTTTATACACTCATTTCTTTCTTGTAATCTTCTTTTGACGTGGGGAATCATCTAAAGGTTTTAAGATTAGTTTTGAGTTTAGGGAATTGCTCACGTGCACGGTCTGCGCAAAGCCCAGTTAACCTAGTGAAGTTTTAGCCAAATCGCTGACTACGGTTAAGGGAAGATCAAACTACCATACATGGACCGTTTACTTCTTGCTTCACTCATTTGTTCTATTTTAGCTATGTCCATTACCATACTTAACTTAAGCTTTGATGTTTCAGTCTTAATTTATAATCTCATTAAGTGTTGTTATTCACCCCTATAGCATTGCCACGTTGGAAACAACACTCTAAAAGTTTAAATCGAACTAGTCAAGTATAAGAACATTAAGATCAACAATCATCTGAATTCACTTGATAATCTAGCATCTACTATGTGTTAAGGTGTTGCAGAATGCTAACATAGCTAATTGAGGGATTAGCTCAAGATTTTATTTTGATACTGTGTTGTAATGGAGCTTAATTGTAATATTTTATAGATCTAGGATTACACTTGGAATTCTACATTTACATTAGGGAGGGTTTTAGTCCAATTTTCCTTATCCTACTAATTTTTTTTAAGTCAAGTTTATTAGTTTTCTATTAAGAGTCTTTTCTTTAGAGTCCTACTTGAGATAGAAATTCTAGTTCTTTTAGAATTAGGGTTGGTAGTATCCTATATAAAATAAATGTACTCTTTATTTTGAAGACAGATTATGATAAGAGATTTTTCATCATTGTTGCTATTGCGATTGAGTGATGCAATCAACCTTAGGTGTGAAGACAAGATGTAATTCTTAGCTTTTCTTTCTTTTTGCTTGTGTGATGCAATTAAGTAACCCTAGGTGTGTCAACGAGAAAAGGCAAACCACCCAACTGACACCAGGTTATTACTTTTAATACCCAACCTCAACCCCAACCACAACCCTATATATACATATATATTGATAACCTGCATTTGACCCAACCTATTTTAATATTCTTTTAGTATAATTTTCATGAAAATTATTTTTTTAATATAAATCACAACTTAATAACATAAAAATTCATTATATCAGTAAATTAATCTCTTAAATAGCACAATAAATACAAATTTATTGATATAATACAAATATATATAGAAGATTAAATAATAAAATATATTATTTTTATCTAGCTTGAGATGAGGTGGGGCATCCTAAATCCATACCTAGCCCGACTTTTTTAATCATAAAACCCAAACCCCCCATCTGACCCCTAAATTTTTAACAAAAAACCATCCCCTATTGGGTTGGTTTGTGATGGAACCCATTCAAACTTTTTTGCCATCCCTAGACATGAAGCTTGGGATTTATCTTTTTGATTTTCTATTTTTTATTTAATTTTCCCTATTTTCCTAAGAATTTCAGATTACTATTATTATAAATCCTCTCCTCCAAGCTGGTCAATGTGAGGTCATGTTACTGTGTCGTCTAAAATGATTGAAGCATTATTTTGAAGATATTTCAACCGTTTTATCCGCAAGTAGGTTGCTAGTCCACATATTAGACTTCTTAAGGAGATAGAACTAAGAATACACCAATAATAATTCATTCCACAGTGATCAATAAAAAAGTGAATTTATTTATACGTGAGTTGTTATGCTAATAGTGTTGTGAAAGTTCATTTGAATATGTAATATTATTTTGCAGTAAAACTGACCTGGCTGATGAAGAACTTTGAGAGGCAGTTGAGAAGCATTCGAATTGAAGAAGAAAAGTAAATTCTTCATGAGCTCCACAGATTCAGTTGAGACTAGTATCTCTCTCTAAATAACATAAGCTATAGTAAGTAATGCCACTTTCCTCATAACTAAACATGGAGAGTTCCGTGAATGAATTTTCAGATCAAGATTTAAAGGGCAAAAAGAGTAGGCATGAAACCCAAAATTTTTACATGTTATTATCATCATAAATATTGTTTCTGCATGCAAACACAAATTTGCACCATCTAATCTGAAAAGAATCCCAACTACCAGAAGATCTTTATCAAATGCCGGATGAAGGATAAATTTGTGAAGTTAGCAACTGTATCTGATTACTTTTCAAAGATAAACTGACAATGACATGGCCTAAAATGAAAAAGCTAAAATACTAAAAGAGCCACTGAATTTTTCCACTTTATTTAGGTAAGCCCCTATACTTACCCAAATAAGCCCTTATTCTTTAATTTGTATCCAAATATGCCCTTATTTCAAACAAAAGATTGAGTTATGTAAGAGCTTATTTGGATACAAATTATAGTTTAAGGGTTTATTTGGGTGCAATGTAAAGGCTAAGGGCTTATTTAGGGGCAATAAAGCACAAGGGCTTCTCTAAATAAAGAGATAAAGTCCATGACTTTTTTATTATTTTAGCCAAATGAAAAAGGTGATTCATAAACATAGTAGGTGATTTTTTTTTTTTTTAATTTTGCTAATGGTAGTGTTTAGGTCTCTTTGAGCAATCCATTAATTTCCAAAGTAAGCCTAACCTCTCCCCCTCCACCCAAAATGAGTATTCTCACAAATCAAGATAAATCCTAGGAATCCCCAAAGAAAACTGCATGGAAAACAATGAAACCTCTATTCTGATATGACTTACTATACTTTGAAAATTATAAGTTGACAAGTCCTTAACAAATGAACAATAAGGAAGCTACACTTATATTATTTAGAAATACAAGATTAGAACAACAATTCAGTCAGGCATTACCTGACCTGATGAAAATACTAACTGGCCAATATAATTAATTAAATATATTATGCATATGAATCACTCCAGAACTTTGAACTTCTCCGATAGATCATAATACTCAGAAACATCACTCTCAAATTCATACCTATAGGTTAAAATTTCCTAATTTCAAATCATATAATGATAGCTAGTCTATACAACAACTCTCTAGAAAAAAATAAATAAATAAAATATTTTACAAGAATCCAAACCTTGAAATTCTTCTGATGATCATAATATCCTGAAACAATCATGAGCAGACGAAGTTTCTCCATTTCTGATATATCATGGCAAAAAATTAGAAAAAGAAAACGAAGGGAAAATATAGATGCTTAAATAATTTTGTCAAAAGGAGTCTAAGAAAGAATCAACAATGATGAGTGTGCTCAGAGGTTTAGTTAGGAGCATGCTATTAAACCAAGAATCCTTGAATTAAAGATCCTTGAGTTCCCACACAGTCAGCAAAGCAGTAAAGATTGTATCACAAAATCTATCGTGTACCCTATGTGAATAGAAAATGTAAATTAATATTGAATTCATATTTAATAACTCACGCTGAAAATGTTTTATTTCCCGAGTTGAGGCATCACCATGTGCAAGAAGCTGCTCCACTGAAATGCCAATAGAACTCATTCCAACTTGTGAAACCACTAACCTTGAACCAGCATTGTCTAGCTTACCTGGTTTACTAACTCTAAGTTAGCGGAATGCAATTGAATGGGCAACACAGGACAAATGTCCATGTATCCTCATGGAATGTATTCTCAAGAAACATTATATATAACTAGGAAAAGCCAATCATAGAACTAAATTCACTTGTATAACTGCATGTGCACTGTAAAAACAGATATACTTGCATCATGGAAGTTAGTATCTTAAAAACAGATAATCACTTAAATACTCCTTGCATATAGGGTTAGCGGACCTACCACATAGCATGTACTTCGCATGTATGGATAACAGGCCTATAGCATGGCTTGGACATCATACTTACTGTATAACAAGCCTGTCAAGGAGGAGACCACAAACAGGGGCAATGCCTGCTCTGATGCCTTGTTATGGGAGGGAATAAAGGGGAGAAAACTAGGGAATCTACCAACATGGTAGTCTTCTATGTATTTACATTAAAATATATATTTTTGAAATAATTTACATTAAAATAATAAGTACAAAAGGACCTAAAAAATACATAAGAGACTAACACATTGGTAGATTCCCTAGTTTTTTCCAATCTCTTCTCTCCCACAACAGATTCTTCACTAAAAAAGATGTCTTTTTGGCTCAAGGGAAAGTGTCATTGGTGGTTACTAGGTCATTAGTACAATACTTAATTAGTTTAATTCAGTTTCGGAGTATTGAGGTATTTTGACAATTTTGTTAACTGGAATTAGTGGGCCATAGTAGTGGTCTAGCAGTCCCTTAGGTCTTATTTTCAGGTTCACTGAAGTTTTTGTGTCCAAATTTGAAATCTAATGATCTTAGGAATCCTAATCCAAGTAGAAGAAATTAGCTTTTCCTTGTTTTTATCTCCGTGAATTGTCATACATAATGTAGTTGATTTTCATAAAGACTTAAGTTATTAAGAATTAATGGGATTTTGTGATTGAGTGTTTGCTCTCCTCTTTTTTCATCTTTCTCTCTCTACTCTTACAATGCCAGAGTCAGCATTAATCGCATCACAGGTCCAAACATCTATAATCTTGTTTTCTTCTACTTTTGCTGCTACCTAAAATTTAGAGCAACCTTTCTCTTTGATTCAAGCCCTCCTTTTAGATTAATTCTCAGTTGAATCAAACACTACTTTATTCCTAAACCCTATCCAAATCCGAAGTAGTTAGACTTCCTTAAATTTGTATACATCATATAATACTTCTTGATAACTTGATGTAGTTATTTTATCCAATGGTCCAAAAGGGTACCAACATTAACAAAGATAAAAGTTCCAGATAGTTTTGATATTTAATTTTGATTTCTCTCAATCTTTTGATTGTCTTTATCATTCTTATTTCCAAATTCATGAGAGTGTAATATAGGATTATTTCATTTTTACTTTTAAATATAGGCTTAACAGCTTACAGAAACGCCTGCTTTTTGTCAGTGGGCATTTTCCAAGCTATAATATATATATATATAGATAGATAGATAGATAGATAGAGTATTTTTAGGTTTGATCACATAGGCAAAACTCATTTGAAGAACACTTGATAAAATCAAACCTAAACTTTAACCAAACAGAAATAAAGCTGACCTACTTATTTTTTCAATCCTACCAGAGTCCTATAAATCAATAAATCTTCTAATTCTGGTAGCCTGGCTATTAAATAGTCCTAGTATACCTCATAAAATAAAAGTCCCAATACATGATATCTTCTTCTTCACTGAGGTAAAAACTGTTCAGAAACTTAAGCTTTAGGATGACTCCATTAGTGTACCCTTAGAAGATTAGCTCTCTGTATTATTGGTACTAGAAACTGATGATGAATATTTAGAGTCCACAAGAAAACTTCATGGAATTCAAATAACTATATTCAAGTGCAAGCGCATACCTACTCTTGTCCACTTCTTGAAATCTCTTCCCAAAATATCAGATACTCTCAGCTCAGAAATATCATATAGTTTATATCGCACTGCAAATCATGAAGTGTAGATCCAAAGATTAGCCTACAAGAGTAAAGAGAACCTTAATTGGGAGGGAGAGTGGAACATTTTTATTTTTTTGTTGAGAGAGAGAGAGAAAGAGTACATGGACAAACTGAGGAGAGAAGAACTTACATATCTGGTACAGGCCATTGCATCCAAAACGACCAGCGCCATTGACCAACAATGTAGCCATGTATTTATCCTTGGTGGTAGAATGAGGACTTGATAGATTTCCAGTGTCTAACAGGATGCCAGCTAACTGCACATAGGATTGAAAGGTAATATAATTGAATTTTCAGCTTCTCATAATTTGATTTTGTTTGATGACATTTTCATTTTCAGCCCTTAATGTCATTTCATTGAATCACCTGTAACAACTAGACACCAAATTAAGAAAATCACTTAGGCTTCATTTATTTTTTGCTACTTGGGTTTTGATTTTGGAAGCAAAAAAGTAAAATTGTGTTTGGACTTTGGACACAGAAGCAAACAACATTTTTTGAGTATCAAAAACTAAAAGTTCCATTTTCAGGGATAACACAGTGCATAGTTTTTTTCTCGTAAGGAACAACCATTCACTTGTTTAACTGCTAAGAAGAATCTTTTCTCTTTCAACTGGGAACTGCTTACCTTTGGTGCTTTATATAAGTAGTAGTTGGTCCCAGAAAAGGATCAGATAGGCTTGATGCCAGATTTGATTTTAGGGTTGATTCAGCATAAAGATTAATTACTTTGACTAGCTGTTCTCTCTTTCCTTAGTAGAAAGTGGGAATGAGCAGCAAAGCGAACCGAGTCAGGCCCACTTGGGCCAAACCCTTCCTTTCTCTTTTAAGGGGATATTTTCTCTTGGACACAGGCCTTAGAGCGAAAATTTATCACACTCGAGCTTACCCCTGCTCTAAATCCTCATTGAGAGAACATGCTTTAAACTTTGCTAATGTACAAACATACCTAAACTAGATTTAGTCGACAAGGCCTGATCATGAATGAAGATTTTGCTTTTCATTATTTGCTTTTATTTTATCACAACTTTGAAGGGAGTAAAAGAAAAAAAAAAACAAAAAATAGCAAAAGAAATAATCAAATGGGGCCTTAGTTTATCCAATAACATCTATTCTAGTATCACTGCATACACTAGTATCCCCAGCCATCGTCAAAAAGACCACTAGTGCCTGAAGCGAACATATCATCACCACCAATTTTGGAATAAAATCATATCCCCATAATATTAACACTGCCACTATCCTTCACAGATATAACCATCACTATTGCAGGAACACAATTATCAAGATAATCACTTCGCCTCCAGCACTGCAATTATTGTATATATAAACATTGCAAAGATGTTTTCTCCATCATCTTTTTTTAAGCTCTTATACAAGAATTTCAACTCAATGTATGATTACTTATATTGTAAATTATATTTGTTATTCATACTTAAGCTGCTATAGTGATCAAATCATTTAATTGCATTTTAGCTCAATAATCTCAGGGTTCATCAAGAAATTTCAGTTCTAGCAATTTAGCTCTTAAAATTTTGACTTATTATTTTAACTTTCAAGTTTTAGTTTTATCAAAAGTAATCAGAAATTAAATATTTATGGCTAAATATGTTAACCACAAATAATAGGCAACCTTTTATTTAATTGCTTGCAAAATGCAAGTGAATGCTCCGTTTGTATGTGCTAGTTGTTATAGTGATCAAATAATTTAGTTGCATTTTAGCTCAATAATCTCAGAGTTCATCAAGAAATTTCAGTAGGTCTTAAAATTTTGACTTACTATTTTAACTTTCCAGTTTTTGTTTTATCAAAAAGCAACTCAGAAATTAAATATTTACTACTAAATATGTTAACCACAAATAATAGGCAATCTTTTATTTAATTGCTTGCAAAGTGCAAGTGAATGCTCTATTTGTATTTGCTCGTTGCTTTAACAGTAGTATCACTCTTGACTAATTTAAAAGATAAATAGGAAAAGATTAGTTAATACTAGAATATAGCAAACCATAAAGACAAAGAGAGGAAAATCGAGTTAAAATTTAGAAAATTCATGAGCAATAGTAATATGTACCAAAAGTCGGCTGAATCCTTGCCCTGCCAAAATCTCAGGCGAGGTCATTGCAAACTTTTCAGCAATAAGTGTACAAGATGAGCACTCCTGCATACATGCATGCATGAAACAAGATCCCCATATTATTTTATAACAACAGAATAGTTTTAAAAGTAAAAACAAAGAAACTTTAAATGAATACAAACATGACAAATTACAAAAACCAACTTCTTAGGTGTAGTTCTGAAAAGTTTATGTTCTTAATTAATGTTTTTCTAACCGCAATGAATGTGTTTGATAGCATGTTTTTGCTTTAAAAGGAAAAACGAAATTGAAACAAGACCTTCTACTCTTCTGTTTTGGAAAATGAAATGTCCACTCTTGAACCATTCGAAAGAGACTAAACAATGATTGAATATGAACAGTGTTGTTCTTATCGATACATTTCTTGTATAATACTAAATACTTATGTTAAATAAAGTATACAATTATATAATAATACATAAATATAAGAGAATAGAAAATATGCAAAATACATTTTTTAACCAATATAATTATGTAAATTTAAATACAGCATAAAAATAAAAAATGGATATATATTAACTAATATAATATAAAATTATTTAAAAATAAATAACTAAATACATAATGGCTACTTATAAAGTTTCTAAAATTGAAAAATCAAAATAATGTTATAAGCTATAGCTGATTCATTACAAATACATGAATGAACAATACATAATATTTTTTAAAAATTACAGTAAACTATTTCATTTATCTTTACAATTATTTTATTGGTAATTGCTATGCTCTGTTATAACACAATTTTTGTTCCAAAAAAATAAAATGATTTCCTAGATATATTTCTTTAGTTTTCTAATTTATAAATTTATGAAAAACTTTCAATAACAACTTTGTTCTTTACTAATGATATTAAACAAAGCAAAAAAGGGGAAAAAGAAAGTTGAACATAGAAAACTGGTGACCTATTAAAAGATCCTTTTTTTGTCCTTATTTATATCTAATTCTCTTTTAGCATGATGCCACATGTGCCGATGATGCATGTTGAACATTGGTGATTGAATAAAAGTGCATTTGTTACAGGATGCATTTGGATGACAATATTTTAGCCAGGACAGTAAACTGCAAAATTTATTGACAAATCTCTCATGAAGAGAGTTAACCAAGCAAACTATTGGAAACTTGGGTCGAATGATTGGATAAATAAGCTCCAATGGCACCATGCTTTCTGTGACATAAAATAAGCACAATAGAATAGCATTCAAGTATAGAAGAATCTTCCTAACACTAATTTCAAGATGAAAGGGAAAGAAAAAGGAAATAGAATCCTTCTCACTTAAAAACACATTGGACTCAAATGGTAACACTATGCCAGGTGCAGGTTTAAATAAACATTGACAACATGATGAAACAACAAAAACAAGATCATAACAAATAACAGGTGATATTAACAATATTTTTAATTGGATTTACGTGCAAAAGATAGCTTTATAAACATCGGCTTTAAGGCCTCCTGTTAATAAAATATTGTTTGAATGCATGCTACCTCAATGACACTAGAGTAACTATACTAGATATTCGATAAATCTAGTAGCACATAGGAGCTCTTGACGCTAGGTTTTAAAATATATATATATCATTGTCATCAGCTTTAAATTTCTAGAATTGTTACTTCTAAAAAAACCTCAATAACTCTATTCATGGAAAAATCATACAACACCATTTAAGAATTTAAATTAAATAATAATGCAAAAAATAAAACAATGCACAACAATCTAAGCGGTATCCAGCCAACTCCCTATTCAGAGAAATGATTAATGCACCAGCATCACTCTTTGCAATTGCTCCACATGTCTTAGAAATATTATTTATTTTCGTTCCTTTTTGCTTTTGCTTTTTCTTTCTCTTTTTATTTTTCATTTTATATTTATATCTGTTTCTTAAGATCATAGGTCACAATTCCATCCTAATCAAACTTGGCTGGTTTGATAACCAGAAAAGAACTTTGTATATTATCAGCTTGCTAGTAATTCTTCTTATTCAAAGCCACATCCCAGGAATATCTTTTATTCCAAAATGTTTTTATGTTTAGGGGAAACCCCCATAGAATGACATCACGAAACTCAAGAACATTGGCATGACAAATCAAGCAAATGAAAGAGCATCAGTACTTGTTCCATGAAAGTGATCCTGATGAAAATATGAATAGAAAATAATTAAATAAATCAAATAACACAATGTAAATTCTCATGTCATACCTGCCCCACAGTAACTTTCTTAACCCAAGGGTACACACGTTCACTCTGTAAATAAAAGTGAATCTCTGTTATTCTTTTTTTCATATTCACAAAAGAAAGGCATGAAATGTTAGCTATAATGAGTTGTCTATGTACCTGTCTGCAATTAAAGATTTCGATTACTGATTCTTTTAGTGCCTGTACAAGGAAGCTAATACATCATTTCTGATGGTCAACAGGTAAAAGTGAGTTCTTGGTAGAAATATTACCTCCTGTTTTGCTGGGAGCTTGGGACCATTTAACAGAACTAGCTTAAGACTCCCAAACAAGTCATAATATGATAGATCAATCTACCAATAATTTCACCGTCAAGAAACAGAAATGCTCAGTCAAATCTCAGAATTGAACTTTAATCATAGTTGAAAATTTCTACAAAACATGGTAGTTATGACATGATCCATAGATGAATGAATAGAACCATATACTCAGAGTTTTGAACCTATGTATTTAATAGCCGTTAGCACTTGTAACAAATGTTTTATGTATTTTTGGGCCAGTCATAGGATTTACGTACACCAAATATTATATAAGATATTTTATTCAACTGAGTAGATTAAATGTTAAGAATTGATCAAGTTTAATAAGATCTTCTAAAAGCCAATTGCATACATAAAAAAAGTAACTCTTACAAAATTCAAAGCATATCAAGGTTAATGTAGGAGTTTCATAAGTCAAATTGAACATACTTCATCAATAAAGATTAAGAATGACTGATCGATTTGACAAGAATCCAACAACCATTTTAATTCAGCATGTGAATTCAGCTCTGTCCTCTTCATGTTGATGACAGGAACAGTGCATAATTCGTGACTTTCAAGCATTTCATTCAAGTAGAAGGCATACATGATTGTCGAAGCAACAGATCCAACATCTGAAAATTGAAAAATATGATATTAGAATTGTGAGCTCATTACAAATCATTCGCATCTTGGTTGCCAAACATATTCAGAACCCAAACATCTTTATCATAATAATATCTGACTTTTCCATTTCTTTACTTCGGCAAAGATTTTATTCTTAGACTTGTAAGATAAATTTATCTGTTTTAGTTTTTAAGAGAATTAAATGGAATCAAGACTAAAGGATTGTCATGTATCATGGAGTCCCAGTTGAGTGTGATTTCCTAAATTCTATGAACATAAAATAAGTACCTAAATGGGAATGAAAAGAAGTGTATTCATAACGGATGCTTTACATATTTGGCAAATTATAAGGTTTAGGTTAAAGCTATAATAGTGGTTGTATAATCTTGAAAAGTTTGCATTATTTATGAATTAAATGCTGCTAGCAAATCTGCACCAAAAAAAAAAAAACAAAAACTGGCAAACTGAAAAGAATTTCAGGATATTCATGGCAAGAAGCAGAATAGGATTGTGGCGGTCAACTTTTCTTCTCATTCCAAAGATTTTGAAGTTCTTGATACTGAAAATATTAAGCCTCCTTATGAATTTGAAAAAATATTTTTGCAACATTAATACTAATAAAAGTAATTCATTAATTAATTCTCAAAGAAACTTGAGACCTACAAATACGGGTAAAGAATAGAAACCACGTGAAATGCAGTTGCAAGAACAATTACGCAAAAAAAAGTTTGGGCCTAAGCTTATATTACATGATCACTTATTGCTTCATGCACATAATCGAGCATTAGGCTTAGGCTTCACAAAATCAAACAAGCAGTAAAATTGCTTCAATCTAGAAATTGGTTAGAAGCAAATGAAGTGGAAAAAGTTATAGCCATAGATAAAAGAAATGAGACATTAAGACTTGAGGACTCTTTTAATTATTGTGATAAGAGAAGACCAAGGAGAATTACCAGAGATATCTTGCCCAAAAACAGTATGAAGGAATCTTCCTGGAACACCAGCATCGACCTCATCCCTTTTTGATTTGAGAAATAAATTAAGACTGTTAATGCTTTCACAGGATTCTACAATTTCCATTCGTGGTGAATGTCCATTGTAAAATGAAGCTGCAGACTGAGGAAGTGGAATTTTTGACAAGCTTGTTTTTATTTTGTTAACCTTATATGATTTTTCACGTGCAGTTCTCATCAGAGAAGGAACAGAATGATGAAGTGGGTCTTTGATTGAATCACTTGAATTACCCAAATGAAAGCTTGACTCTGACTGAATGTTTGGGAAGACATTTGACCAACTCTCATATGATGCTGGGTTAAATGGTTCAAGAATGAGATCTAAGACTGAATCATCTGATGGTGATTCCATGAACTTCTCAAATATATCCAAATCAAGGTTTTTGTGCCTTGAGTCACCAATATCTGATTTAGACCAAGAAATCTTCTGGATGCCAGAAATACCTCCCAAGTCAAAGTTAGAAGATTCAACCACCAAAGCACCATCTTTTACTAACGGACCATTGAAGTAAGGATTCTCTCGGGTACGAATATATAGTTCCTGTAACATAGAAGAAATAATTAGGATTTGGAACATAGAAGAAATCTACAAGGGAAAAAGAAAACAGCAGTTAAGGAGAAGTTTGAATCTTTAATGTCATAAACATTGAAGGCGTGAGACTCATGACATGAAAGCTAAGTCTAAGATCTCACTTTGACATAATCTACATTAAAATTTCTAGTTTTAATGTGTTACCAAAGATAATAATCTAAGATGAGAGTCAACCAAAGGTTCTAGTGCAGGACTTTATCTAAGAGTCTATTGTAAAGTTTTGAGCAACATAATTACCTTCTTGACTAACATTTTCAAGTAGAAGAGAAGGAAGAAGTAATAACCACTCTGGATCGTACTAAAAGCAAAAGACCATCACCGTTATCCTCATTATTAATCCAATGCCACACCTAATAGCAATTTTACTAATCTGCATGTGAAGGAAATTTTGGAAAGAGGCCTGTATCAAAAGGTGGATGTAAGGAAAAAAAAAGAAGGAAGAGGAGATAGGAGGTTGGAATGACTGGCAAACAAGATCAAAAAGGTTAGATGGTTAGTTACTTTTCATTGTTGTAGTTTTCTCGCTATAATGAAGAACTATCTTTTGTATTACTTAACTGTTAAGGATACTTAAGGAGGTACTCAAGCAATCATGCGTAGAACCTTCTAAGTTATCAACATATTACTAGCAGTACACAGAATACCAAATTGAGTTACAGATCAACTTGCACAGAGTTTCAACAAATGGTTATGATGGATGTCGAAACTGATATTCTGGTAATAAGGGTTCTACCATGGCAAGACATCCAACAGGAGAAGAACCATAAATATATGTATCAACCAAGACAGAAAGGATTAAAAATCAACATATTACCAACAGTATACAGAATTCCACATGGAATTATAGATTAATTTGCACTGAGGTGCAACAAATGGATTAGGAGTTATGATGGATGTTGAAACCAATTTTCCAAAATGAATTATAAAGAGATAATGCCATTCAGAGGAGCTCCCAGGTCTAATTTAAGATTGGAGAAAAAAAGGTTTAAAATTTACCATTTTACACATGACACCAGAAAAGTTTTAAATTAAAATGCTGAATCTAAAGACCTAAAACTGACACAATGGAGAAAGTGCAGCTCATATGCTTAATTTTCATAGAAGAGAATAAGTGTTTGAAATTAACATGCCTTAAAAAAGCAACAATCGGATCTGATGTAATAAAATGATAAAACCAAATGATCTGTTAGAAATAAGTATTGTCATGTATCTAGATCAGAAACAGACAGGTTGTTAATGATTAAATCACCAATGCTTTGTTTCTTTCTAACCCCATGTGCATCTTGCATTCATGGATGTATACAATTTCCGTAATAGTAATTTTGTGGGCGAACGTCCCATCCCCTAATCTGCTCAGTTCCATGCTAATCCTTCTAAACTCTACGCTTTTACACTTTGAAATGATAGTAATGCTAGGCAAGAAAGATGTTTCTTAAATCCATGTAAATGATAGTAGCCAACTGCTCGTAATAACAGAAGGAAATGTGAAAAGTGAAACATGGAAGGGCTTGAACCAAAGATCTTGAAAGTGGGTTTATATATTTATATATATATATATACACACTCTCACACATACATATATATATATATATATGCTCCTCCTACTCCCTTCAAGTCCCTTTTCCATCCTTCTCCATGTTAAGATTAATCATGTACCTTACTCTGTAAATAATAATTGATTAACATAGCCTGCTTGTCATCACTCATCATTTTCGTTATAATCTTAGCTGACTACTTCAGTAACCCCTGTGCCATTGCCTGAACAATAACGTGATCCCAGGTATGTATAGACTAATTCACCTAAGTCAAAAACTACAGTGTTAGTTTTCTTCAACATATGGAACTCCAAGGCATGCCCATTTAGAGAATGGGTTTCCTTCTGACTGAAACATGTATAATAAAATACATAGAGTGTAACTAAAACTACATTTGTTTAGGCTCTTCAAATGGAGATTATCTCTAATAAATTGAAATTGCACCATCTCTAATCCTTTGATTAAGAGAGTTGTAAATCATAAGGTGTATAAATCTGTATATCATGTCAGTAAAAACCCCACAACTTTTTGCAATCACTAGGTTACACTTACACCATCATATTATATTACGATTATTCTTATCCAAAAATGCTAAAAACCCAAAATAAAAACAAAGAGAACAAACCTGAGAAAGTGGTTGGGGAGAGCTCATGTTGAAGAAGAATATGAAGCGTAGAAATGGAGGAGGGGAAGGGGCATGAAGCGTAGAAATGGAGGAGGGGAAGGGGCCTTGCGATTTGAGCAAGGACTGAAAGGGCGGCAGATTCGGAGAGACAAACATATTGAGACGACGACATTTTCAGATTCTTTGTGGTCTCCGCCATGCCCATTACGTTTACACACCCACACCAACTCAAATATTGTTTAAAAACCATCGCCTATTCGCTCCTTCTGCATGCGTCAAACAGAGTCAGCCCTTCACCTTGTTAAATTCAAAATAATAAAAATACTCAGTTATTGGTCTTCAGTTTTCAGCCGGATGACCTGGTGGGCGACACTCTACAGATTAACCCCAATTCAAAGATGGGCTTTTATGTTTTAAGACATGACCACCCACTCAAAAACGCTTCGAGAAATATCCGGCTCCATCTTCAAACCCCTGCTACTTTAGCTATAGGAGGTTTAATCTATAATTATTATAATAATTAATTAATTAATTAAAATTTAAAATTATATATAAAATCTACATTTAAAAATAATACACTATTATATAATTCTTTATTATAATAAAAAATTATAAATAATATACTCTCTTTCACTTGTTTTGCCTTCTTGATTTATCCTCAAAGCTATCGTTTGGATGTCTTTACTTTGTTGTATTTTTTATGATTAAATACTTAATTAAAAATTTAATATTTTTATATTTTTTTAATTAAAGATATCACGTTTAATTTGATTCAATTTAGAATCAAAAATTTTTAAATATGCTCAATTAAGGATTTAATTACCACTAAGTTATACACGCTGTTAAATCCACTATCTGTTAAATTTGCCGTTAAATCCAACCTGATAAAAACACAAAATACCGAAATCAAATTAAAAACAAGAGAAAAACACGTAATATCTAAAACCAAATTAGTTTAAAACAAAAAGTCTAAAACCAAATGAGTTCTTCAACCATTTTGTTTCTTCGTTGTCGTTGCTTTCGTCATGGAGGAAGGATTTGATGGGGCATTGCCATTATTATCCTTGTTTTGGTTCTTAGTGGCTTTACCAATGTCAACTCTTAGCCAATGGAAAGTGCATAAAATGAAGTTCCTGAAGTCCAAGTGGGGTGAAACCTTTCCACGCCAAACTCTATATCTATTTCCCAGGATAATCACCCATAGCTGGCAGATGTACCACCAATATTGTAGTAGTTGTTTATTCATAGTACATTTCCTATGTTGGTGTCGACTGCATAAATGGATCCATTAGGGGTTATGGACCCTACGGTAAGAATGCTATTGGCCACTGTAACGGGCGCCTGGGCAGTGCCATTACTGGGATTTGCTGTGGACCACACAATTTCTCCTGTTTTTGCATTCAAAGCTCCTTGCTCCTGCAGCCGTTGTTTGGTTAGATGGTGCGAGCATGAAGCTTTGGCGGTCGTTGTTAGCGATGTTGGTGTAAATTATTCTCCCATCTGTGGATGCACCCCATTATTGTCTAAGAGGAAAGAAAGAAATTACTCATCAAGGAGGCTATGAAAAAAGAAGAAAGGCCTAGCTAATTGGACGGCTGAAATTGATTTGAACTCAAAATGGACTGACGAAATTGCTATGCTTTCCATGCTGTTAGGGCAGCCTAAAAAGAGGAATTTGGAGGTTGGGTTGATGAGTTTGAACTCATCTACTATCGCTATAGCTAGAAAGATGTGTCCCCCTGTGCCACCAGCAGCAAATGCCACGTGAAGGCTCTCCAGGGCCTTGTTGGCGGTGCTGCTGCTAGTGGTTTAATCATCTCTTGATTGGCTAGTGAGAAGCAGTAGAGCCGACAACTAGCGGTTGAGGGAAGGACCCCTATTCCGCTAGAAAGAGGGAGAAAAGAAGAAAAAAGAAAGAAAAGAAAGGAAGGAGAAGGAGAGAGAGAGAGAAGAAAGAAGTAAGAAAACCAAAAGTCTTAATAATTTAATATCGGAATTGAAGCCGTCAGTTACCAGAGCTTTGGTATTACTATCTGTTGCTGTCTAAAAATGGTATTAGAGTTAAAGCTTGCCAAGATAGCGAGAAGAAAATATGTTTCTAATTCTTGATTATTGAAGTTGGATAGGAAAAACCAAAAGAGTCTTACTTTCATGGATTTATCAACTATCAGTAATTTTAGTTCTCAATCATCTTTTTCTAGATCTTCTTTTAGTTTGTCTTCTCTTCATTCTCCTGTATTTAAAAAGTCTTTCTCTTCTAAGTTAAAGTTCTTATATGAAGTAGATTATATCCTAGAAGAAAAGAAAACCCAACAAACAGTTTTTTCCCTTATAAATCCTTATACAATTTTCTGAAACTCTTCCCTTTCTTTTACTAGATTTTTAAAAATTCTTTTAAAACCAAAATACCAAACTCCAAAAGAGTATGTTCAAGCCACAAACTTTGATCAATGTATTCTTCTAACAGGACCTCAAGAGTACTTTGTTACTTTTCAGATCCCTGAAGAATTTCTTCAAAAGTGGTCAGAACAAGGATACACTCATATCTATTTTGATGCTATCAGAATAGCCTTAACCTTTCACGGCAGAAATGATATTCCTGTATGTACCAGAATGGCCTTATTAGACACAAGATTTAAATAATACAAGCATTCAGTCCTTGGTATAGTTTAAATGACACTCAATGCAGAAATTGTATTCTTCATAGTCTTTCGCAATTAATAATATATCTCTATTCATGATCCACACTGTTAGAATGCTTTAAAAGTTCCAAGTTCCAATCTGTAGGCCCAAAGATAAAGGACTTCAGGCAAACCCTTCACTACCAGATGGCTATAAGTCAAGATCATGATATTAACTTGCCTTTTTCACACTCCTTGGTAATGCTATCTTTGTCAAAACGGAAGCAGTAAGACAGGAACCTAGACTGTTTCACATTCTAAAGCAGATCTCAAATAAAGAACTTGCCACCATTTTCCCAAAAACATGGACGACAAGTTATCAAAAGATTAGAAAGCAAGATGAACCAATTCAACACTTTGATCCAACCTACAAGACAAATCAGGATGGTACTATCACAATTAAGTTTGATCATAGCAAAGGAAAGGATGTTCCTCCTCAATAATCTTTTCAACACAATTCATGATGCAAAGATGTCAAGCTGATCTCCTTGATATTCCAATCATACACTTTCAATCTAATGAAAATCCTGTATATGCATACAGATCTCTACAAAGACATTGTTATTGGGACATAAATTGTAAATGCAAAGAATACCAGATAGACGCATATAGAAGCTTCCAAGATAATGATGATGATATTTCAAAGAAGCAAAAGAAGAAAAAATCTTCCCAGCAAAAGCTTAAAGAAAGATATGAGAATGGAAACCCTAAAGTTGATCTCCTTAGTGAACTTTCAGGAAAGCTTGACTACTATGTCATCTATCCTAAGAAAGAAAAATTACTCCCTCAAACTTGCCTAAACCAAACCACATAAAAATCAGATTCCACCTAACCTTTACCTTAAATTTCCATGATGCAACCAAATTACCCAAGTTCAGATTTCAATCATTTCTAAGAGTTTCATAAAGACCAATACAAACACATTCCAAAAATCTCAACCCTCACTAGCAGAGATGAATATGGGAACCAAAAATGTGTTTCTCGTGCTGAAGCAATTTTAAATTGACAGACTAAAAATTATCTCCAGCAGAATGCATACCTGTATAGAATTGAACACAAGTTGGATCAAGTCAGTCATCACTTTGATCAGAGCCTTGTCAATCTTCAAAATATTATTCTTGAACTTCAATCAAAGATAATAATTTTAGATAAAAAAACTCAGATATATGGCTGAAACCAACACTGGATTACTTATGCTTTTACTGAACGAGAGAAAGAAATGAAAAGCTTAAAGATTTAATTTGCAGACCTTCAAAATCAGTTTTGACAGAAACAACAACAACGCCTTTAGCTACAACATCTTCACACAACTCAACATTGACATGCATGACACCCCTTACCAAGCCTATACCCTTTCTTCTTTTCAACTATACAATCTTTCAACCTCACCTCCAAAACTTTTCTTCACACCATTTCAGTATAAACCTCCCTCAACATCCATACCAACATCCTCACAACCAACACAATACTTCACCCTTATATGACCAAGCAAAATAACCTCTCTTTGGCACAAGTAAAAAATGGATTCACAGATTTCGAGAAAAATAACTAGTTAATCCAAAACCAAAAAGAGTTATAGAATAACCACTTTCTTAACCTCCAAAACTAAAACCAAGCTCAAGTTTTACACCTTAAAACCCTACACCCCAACCAGACCAAAAACTTGTACAACTCATGATCTCTCATACACAAACCCTTCCAGAAATACTTCATCAAATGGCACAAAACAATCTTTTTTAATTTTTCGTTGAAGATATTTTTTCTTTTACTTTTGAGATTGAATCCCATTATTGTCTAAGAGGAAAAAAAGAAATTACTCATCAAAGAGGCTATGAAAAAAGAAGAAAGGCCTAGCTAATTGGACGGCTGAAATTGATTTGAACTCAAAATGGACTGACGAAATTGCTATGCTTTTCATGTTGTTAGAGCAACCTTAAAAGAGGAATTTGGAGGTTGGGTTGATGATTTTGAACTCATTTACTATCGCTATAGCTAGAAAGATGTGTCCCCCTGTGCCACCAGCAGTAAATGCCACATGAAGGCTCTTCAGGGCCTTGTTGGCGGTGCTGCTGCTAGTAGTTTGATCATGTCTTGATTGGCTAGTGAGAAGCAGTAGAACCGACAACTAACGGTTGAGGGAAGGACCCCTATTCGACTAGAAAGAGAGAAAAAAAAAAGAGAAAAAAGAAAGGAAGGAGAATGAGAGAGAGAGAGAGAAGAAAGAAGTAAGAAAACCAAAAGTCTTAATAATTTTGTGGCAAAAATATAATTTTACCTTTATTTTCCTGCTAATTAATATCAGAACTGAAGCCGTCTGTTACCAGAGCCTTGGCACTACTACTTATTGCTGTCTAAAAATGGTATCAGAGCTAAAGCTTGCCAAGATAGCGAGAAGAAAATATGTTTCTAATTCTTGATTATTGAAGTTGGATAGGAAAAACCAAAAGAGAGTCTTACTTTCATGGATTTATCAACTATCAGTAATTTTAGTTCTCAATCATCTTTTTCTAGATCTTCTTTTAGTTTGTCTTCTCTTCATTCTCTTGTATTTAAAAAGTCTTTCTCTTCTAAGTTAAAGTTCTTATATGAAGTAGATTATATCCTAGAAGAAAAGAAAACCCAACAAACAATTTTTTCCCTTATAAATCCTTATACAGTTTTCTCAAACTCTTCTCCTTCTCTTACTAGATTTTTAAAAATTCTTTTAAAACCAAAATATCAAACTCCAAAAGAGTATGTTCAAGCCACAAATTCTGATCAATGTATTCTTCTAACAGGACCTTAAGAGAACTTTGTTACT